TGATTTCGAAGATAATTTAATGCAAGTACTTCGAGTTGGGAAGGCTCAGAAGTATCTGTTTGAATTTCAGAAGTGCTAGTCGAAAGTTCACTGGCTATAGTGGCGCTCGAAAGTTCACTAGCCATAGTGATGTATTGTAAAGAGTGAAGTGTGAAGTAATTTCCCCTACTTATATTACTTTCATCCCTATGATCAAAGATCTTCGAGGATAAGTTAACATTTGTTTCACATCCTCCTATCTTGTTCCGCAAATATAGTAAGTTCGATATTACTGAAATATCAATCTTGTAAGCAACGCACCTATCTTGTTTTCCCATACACTAAGTATCCGCCGTGATCGTTGCAAAACATGAATGTCCCTGGATCTTCGTTGACAATCCAACTTATCGATCACGAATCGCCTAAATTATCCTGCATTAAATGTATAATTTCGAATAGGCCAATTGGTTCCACGAGAAAATCTTAATCGACAAAGTTTTTTTATTTGCAATACATTAGATAAAGCTGGTTCTAAAGGGACCCGTTTCATCGGTCGTGACGCTAACGAGAAGCTTGAAAGGGAAACTATGTATTAGTTACAAAGCCTTTTTGCAAATGTCCAGCCTAAACCAAGTAAACCTACCCTTAATCTTGCCTGGCGCTTTGTTAAGTAAGTTTCGTCTCTATTATTCCACTGACACTTTTTTTCATGCTGGGATACGTAGCGAAATATGCCCGTTATATTTGCTTATTTCGGCAAGAAAATTTTCCGAAATCATACTGCGCATTGCTCCATTATTTCGCGATTAGCCGATAATATACAGTGTGATCGAGATTCATTTCATCCGTGTTACTACTTCCAATCGAAGAGGCTGTAGAACGCTAAATTAAAGATAAGTATTGTTAGCGTATTCTATTATATCCGCACATCTTCATCAGCTATGGATCGAAACTTACTAACCAATTCTGATCTTAGCGCCGGTAATAATCTGGATGAAGAATTTGTGACGAATGACGATGATGACGAATTTTGGGCGGATGACGAGGATGACGAGGATGACGAATCCTGTGATGATGACGATGATTGGTGGGATCCTAGAAAAACATATACAGGGTGGGATTATATAGCTCATTTTGGCGAAGATAGTTGGGACAAACTTTATCAAGCCCGGTTGGCTCGTCATCGTAATATTCTTCTTAGACTATTTACCAGGCGTCTTCCTAATTTATCTGAGCATGAAAGAAATGGATTGTTTGACGCATTTTCTAGATCTAGGGAATTTGGAATAGATGAACACAATTCATTACTAGACGCGTTAGCTCATCCTAAGGAAGGATTAAACCTCTCAAAATATGATGAACTCGGATTATATTAGACTAATTTTCATGTAAAAAAATCCCTCGATCCCTCCTCAAAAAAATAAATTTTCTCGGAGTAGAAGTCAGAGATATGTAATATTTTTGCAGATATTATCTAAAAAATGAATTTCCTTATCTCACCGATCAAAGATCAAGGGAGCGGATCTTCGGGATGAAAGCTTTCTACTATTTCCTTGCCTTAATGCGTAAAATACTTTATTAAAATAGTTAGGTTATCTCCCGCAGTAACAAAGCTACCAGGGAGCATTAATACAGAAATAAAAAATAAATACAAATCGGGGTGTAGCTATTCCGAAATGATAATATATTTTTTCGTCCTTGCTCTCTTACTATCTGATTTCTATTTGATCTGCAGGTGAAATAATAGCCTGAAATTAGTGTGAATGAGCACACCAATTACGCTAAGGGTCTGCAGAGATAGTTGCAAAACAAAGAAAATCTCCGATCTTCGTTGTCAATCCAACTTACCGATCGCGAATTAAGATTTCGTCCCTAAATGCCCTGCATTAGTGTGAGTACGATCAAACTATCAGATCCTTATCAATTCGTCCATTACTACTCTGCTATCTATATGCGAAGAGTTAATCAATGCAAGCTTTTTATTTGCAATACATCGGATCTATCCTATTCATTGCGTCTATTCTATCCACAATAACCCGCTATATTCATTGTTTTTCATCCTAACCTCCATTTCATCGGTCGTGACGCTAACGAGAACCTTGAAATGGAAACTATGTATTAATTACAAGCTCTGGAGACGCTATCTTGCAAATGCTCAGCCTAAACCGAAAGTAAGCCTACCCTTAATTGCGTAATGTCTCGTCCGACACTTCGCTAAGTAAGTTTCGTCTCCATTATTTTCACTGGAACTTTCTCACGTAGCGAATATGCCCGTTCTATTGTTTATTTACATAGTTGCAAGATTCGTATTTGCGAGTTGCGAAATTTCGTTTATCTTGGGGAAAGGAAAAAAGTTTTTTCATTAATATATATGCGATTCGCACGTCGGAAAAAATCTTGCCGAAGAATAGGGGCTGTGCGAATTCGTACTGTGATCAGTCTCACATGATCTATGCTACAATCGCGAATTTGAATTTATTGCTTGAAGTGAAGCAAGTAAGACAATATTCTGTTCCATACCATTCGCCATGTAATCCATAATTTCCATGTTTTCCATTGCAAATAGGACATGGTGAGCTCCACGGTTGAGGTGATACAAAATTATAATTATCAATCCCTCTGAAACTATTTCGGAATTTCAAGTATGTGAAATGCTCTAAGACGGATTTGATAATTAATTCTGGATCGGGTTTGGCTTCGAAAGTGAAAGGTTTGAAATCAGAGGCTTGAGGTTCTGCTGACATATTTATCACAGCTTTTGGTAATTGCCATGGCTCATGTCCAGTTTCTCTTTTATATTTTTTGTATAAATTGGAACGAATCTTGTCCGTCAAAATGCATGGTAAACCAGTTAATTTGGCAAGCCAATCCAGATACTCAGGGGTTAATACTTTATCGGACTTGCTCATATTGCCTTTTTATATGATTGCAAATCAATTTAAATTACAGTAGGTAATAGCCGACATAAATTATCCTATAAAAAAAATAAAAAATATCACAGTGAAGTGTGAGTAAATGTAGTATTATAAAATAATGAGACTATGCAGTTATCTCAATTTCACACTGTTCACATTTAATAAAGTAAGATCCAGATTTATACCTACCTTCTATGCTTTCCTCATCATCATGATCTAAACTGCATAACGGGCATGATGTCTTGTCAGTAATGCCATAATAATCGAAATTTTCACTACTAAATTCCCTACATAAATTAGGATATTGATCCAATGTCTTATTTCTAAAATAGGATCGGTCATAAGTTGGCTTAGATTGGAATGCAGATGATACACTTGCCGATGAACTCACTCCCAAGGGATTCGCTTGCACCTCAGTCTTATTGGTTTTTGAAGTCACGTGTCCGTTCCAATTTGGAACGAAGTTTTCATAACCTACATCATCCGTATTAGTAGCTTTTTTGGGAAAATCATTTATAATGTCCTGGATCTGGTTATCAGATAAATTCGAGATGGCACTTGCGCTACAGCTAATTATTTGGATTCTATTTATTCCTATCCCATCAAACAATATATAGATTTTTTTAGCTCTAAAAGTTATTTTACGCAAGTTTATATCAGTAATGTCAGGAAGAAGGGGTTTGATTTCGCTGTACACCAATGTTCTTGCTGATTTATCATCAACACTATTCTTAGACTTAACATCCCTGACTCGATCCTCATACGCCTTATAGTAACAATACCAGCATAAGATCTCCTTTCGTCTGGTCTTCATTGCTATATTGAATAGATCAACTATGACTTGTGATGTAACTTTATTAGATCCCGTCAGAATTGCTTCTAAAGAGAATTCGGGAATCTGTATATCAAATATTTTATCTGGGTTCACTGAAGTGAACATCTCTCCACTCTGTGAAGCGGATCCTTTGCCTTCCATGTAAGCAGACAATTCGTCTCTCAAGTCTTGTTCTACTTTCAGATTATAGGGAATTTTTTTGGGTAGAGTGGATCCTAAAGGGATCGTGTCCTGCTTGTTTCCAGAAGATAATTTCAATTTACAGGATATCGCTGATTCCTTTGGAATTGATTCTTTGACTACCTGTTCTGGGGGAGTTACAAGTTCAGTGCTAGTCGTAGAGAGGTCTGTTATATAACTGTTGTTAATTGCTGGGAATGATTCCTGGACAATCAATTCACCCTGAAGCTTTTTTTCCCGCTTCCTCTGCCTAATCTCATCGCTAACCTTTTTCTTATACTCCTCATCCAAGAAAGCTTCCGTTTTCCTATCATCTAATGATCTCCCTTGATAGTTCACTTTAGTGGTCACCTCTTCGATCTGTGGGGGTTTACACTGTTTGGGCTGAGCTATAACTGAGTCAGATACGTCAGCGGGTTCTTCGAGAATAAAATCACCTATTTCCTTATCTTCTATTGACTTGGTGTTGAAATCTTTTTGCTAGCCTATTACGGAGTCAGATATATCAACGGCTGATATCTCTGCTATCTCATTCTATAGTTGCCCATTTACTTCAGTAACACCCTGTTCCAATATTGCGAGTCTGGCCTCAAGCTCCCTGACTTTAGACTTGAGTTCAGTATTCTCAGCATCACGCTTGACATCTTTCTCCATAACCTGCTTTAGAAGTTCAGCTTTCTCAGCCTCAAGCTTGCTTCAAGCTCGCTAATGCGCTGTCTTAATAAATCAAGCTCTGAAGACATGATCTATATAACTAATACACTGAATATGAGTATTCAAAATAAAAAAATTTTTATTAATAGGGGTTTACGACCATCATACAAGTAGGCACGATCCCTTACCCTGAGTGTCTTTGGCTGGGATCAATTTATTAGTTGTCTCTTTTGAGGCGACGATAAACTTTAAATATGAAAATGAGTATGAATAATGGACAGAGGAAAGAAATGTCTTGTAATTGGTTGTTGGTTGAAAAGACCCATTTCTGCGAAAAATCAGCACGGGATCAATATTATGCATCCCACGCATTCAAAATACGAAAGGGCGTAATAATCCCACAACCATGTAAAGGATGTGGACGAGGCACTAAATCGAGAGTTCAGCTTTGTGTTTCATGTGGTCAAGGTAAGGAAAGAGCATACATATATTATAAAAAGAAGAATATGGGAGGAAATGAGTAATTAAATATACCATTTTCATAAGTACTAATCATCTATTATCACTTTCATAAATGATAATTTCAACAATCAATATGCAAAAATCAGACATACATAGAACTGTACTTAATTTACTAACTGATCGATGGATTAGCCCGAATGGAAAGCTATTCCAGAAGTTGATTCGTGAAGGTTACAAATATGCTAATAAACTTTCAGATTATTTAGAAGATATTGGGATCACATACGTCAGTGAATTTGAATTAGATCCTCTAGCCGACTTCTACTATCCAGCCTTAATTCCGCCTTTATCTGTCTTAGCAATTAGAGCAGATATTCGTAAAAATTTTATTATTAGTGTAGAGTCTGCTGTTGTAGGAGGAATGAGTTTATTTACCCTGGAAAAAAATAGACAGTCCTCGCTTCAGAATTTAATCCAAATGAACTATTCCAGTGATAACTTATCTACACTAATAGGAATAACTTGGGAGCATAAAGAAATGAAAGCTTGGAGGAATGATATGCTTATGAAATTTCTCTATCATTCGAATTTATCTCCTTCGAAGCATAGACCGGATGCATTATATGATGCATTTACCAAGACAAATGTTTTAGGGCCAGAACATATATTGGCTCTAGCACAAATTTAAGGCGTGATTATGATATAAATAAATTGTTTATAACCCTGAAATGGCAGTTCCATGACTATATATTTTTTGCATATCATATCTACCTGCAAAATTCAATTTTTTATTAATGTATGCGAAAAATAAATACATAGTAGCATGTGATATATATTATTTTGATAAATATTTTGATCCTAGCTCTCTAACTAGCACCACATCTATATCACAATCGGTAAAATATATTATTAGTATCAGTTAAGAATTTTGGATTGGTCCAACATCTGCTTATTGATTTTTTTTTAAATCCCTTTTTATCCATTTATTCGAAAAGAGACAGATGCTGTGCATAGATCAGCAAATTCTTCCGAGCTGGTGATCACCATTCTGATTAAGAAGTTCAGAAATAAAATCGTTTATAGTATCAATCATACCCATAAACACAGGAAGAGGTGCAGTATTACTATAGATATCCTCATCATCTGATTCAGTTTCAGAGCCAGAGCTAGAAGATTCTGAATCAGAGCAGTA